TGTGTGTGTGTGTGTGTGTGTGTGTGTGTGTGTGTGTGTGTGTGTGTGTGTGTGTGAGTGTGTAAGCCATAAATAGGCTCAGCCACTCATTGTAATTAGTCAGTAAGTAGCAGAAGCATTATTTGCTGCACTGCTAAATGACACAGTAACAAAAAACGAAATATTATTAAGAAGTAAATCTTTTCTCAATTTCAAACTGAGACTGTAATCAGTGGAGCTAAGAAAATGAAATCTGTTTTATGTGACGGGTTTGGAAACTAATTAAAGTAACAAAAGTGATCTGTTCTGAAAGCTCATAGGAGCCCAAATGAGGCAGCAGGTTGCACCCATGAGTGCCACGGCTGACACACTTCCTCCCACAGCCTGTGGAAGATTAAAGCAACACATGAGACAACCCTCACCTTGTGTAAGAAACAAAAAGGCTGAGTGATACGTCGATACTCACTCTTTTGAATAGTCTGCTGTTTTAGACCAAAGCTGCTCCACACAGTTCTAATAATTTAATTAGTTGGCAATAATATTATAGAATATAAATAAAACTATATGAATCAATTGCAACATGTTTAGCAATGCACAATTCCTCCAGTGTTTCATATTCATATAAAGAGTTAAATAATTGTTTAATTTGGGTTGTGACTATTTAAAATACTGTATAACAGCATACCTCAGCCTACAAAATGTTTCAACAAAGAAGAATCTGTCCAGAGGACCTGACTCAACCTTGTTAGATTCATCTACCTGGACTATTGAGCATGCAACAGGACAAACTAGACTTTGTTTAATTTTTTATGTCGGAGAGCGTCCTCTGCAACTGCATCACTTCCCAATCTGAAAATTGCAGCAACGCTGATTGCAAGGTCCTCCAGAAAATCATTAGAGTACCTCCTCAGGCCAGACAAAGCTATCCATCCATCCATCCATCCATTATCTTTACCCGCTTATTCCATTTTGGGTCACGGGGGTCGCTGGTGCCCATGTCCAGCAATCACTGTGCGAGGGGCGGGGTACACCCTGGACGGGTCGCAAGTCCATCACAGGGACACACAGAGACAAACGAGACAAACAACCATTCACACTCTCACTCACACCTAGGGACAATTTAGAGTTACCAATCAGCCTAACATGCATGTTTTTGGTCTGTGGGAGGAAACCGGAGCACCCAGAGAAAACCCACGCATGCACGGAGAGAACATGCAAACTCCTCCTGGACCGGGGTTTGAACCAAGGACCTGCTCGCTGAGAGGCAGCAGCTCTACCAGTTGCGCCACCGTGCTGCCCCCAGTCAGGGCTACACAATGTTTATTTCAACGCGCAACCATCAGCATTGCAGACCCCATCCACCATTCACAGGACATTTCCCCAAGCCTCCCCCACCCCCAATATCTGCTAAAATGATCAGAAGCATCAGAACCTCTGATGCCAGACTGCCCAACAGCTTCTCTCCTCAGGGCCTCCACCTCACTCTGGAGGCCTCCATTACAACACTGTCGAGCTGACACTTTACAAACCCACTCTTCAAACACACTCGATACTACTACTGTCATGCACTACCATACTTTTGTCATACAGTACTACTCCATTCTAATCTCTTTTTTAAGTGAAATTTTAGGAAACACCCCAATAATTTGTACTAATGTTATTTTATTACATTCTGTTCACAGCCGTTCTGATGCACTCAATTATTCAATGACATTTTTGAAAGTGAGAAAATCATTGATAAATGGAGGAAATTCTGCTGGTGACAATTTTTATGAACAAGGGTGATTTACAGTGTTGTAGCAACTACAGGGAAATTAAGTTGATGAACCACACAATGAAGTTCTGGGAGAGAGTCGTGGAAGCAAGACTTAGAATAGAGGTGACAATTTGTGAGCAGCAGTATGATTTCCTGCCAAGAAAGAGCACCACAGATGCCATCTTTGCTTTGAGAATGCTAATGGAGAAGTGCAGAGAAGATCAGAAAGAACTCCATTGTGTCTTTGTGGATTTAGAAAAAGCATATGACAGGATGCCGAGAGAGAAGGTGTGGTATTGCATGAAGAAGTCAGGAGTGGCAGAAAAGTATGTTAGACAGGTACAGGATATGTATGAGGACAGCAGGACAGTGGTGAGATGTGTTGTAGGAGTGACAGATGGCTTCAAAGTCGAGGTGGGATTACAGCAAGGATCGACTTTGAGCCCCTTTTTGTTTGCTCTGGTGATGGACCGACTAGCAGATGAGGTCAGGCGGGAATCCCCGACTATGATGTTTGCAGATGACATTGTGATCTGTGGTGAGAACAGGGAACGGGTGGAAGAGAACTTGGAGAGATGGGGTATGCAATTGAAAGAAGAGGAATGAAAGTCAGCCGTAGTAAGACAGAGTACGTGTGTGTGAATTAGAGGGAGGCTGGTGGAACATTGAGGCTACAAGGAGCAGAGGTCACAAAGGTGCAGGACTTCAAGTACTTGTGGTCCACTGTCCAGGAAAATGTGGAGTGTGGTAAAGAGGTGAAAAAGAGAGTCCAGGCAGGATGGAGTGGATGGAGATAAGTTTCAGGAGTGATTTGTGACAAACGGGTGTCAACAAAGGTCAAAGGAAAAGTTTACAAGACAGTGGTGAGACCAGCTATGTTGTATGGTCTGGAGACAGTGGCACTGAGAAAAATACAGGAGAAAGAACTGGAAGTGTCAGAAATGAAGATGTTGAGGTTCTTCTTAGGAGTGACAAGGATGGATAAGATTAGGAATGAGATCATCAGAGGTACAGCACAGGTTGAACAACTGGGAGATAAAGTTAGAGAGACCAGACTGAGATGGTTTGGACATGTCCAGAGGAGGGACAGTGGGTATATTGGTAGAAGGATGTTAGAAATGCAGCTGCCAGGAAAAAGACAAAGAGGAGATATATGGATGCAGTTAGAGAGGACATGGAGGTAGTTGGAGTGAGGACAGAGGATGCAGAGGACACTGAGATTGAAGAGGATGACTCTGAAAAGGGAACAGCCAAAATAAGTTCACTGCTGCATTAAACTGTACATGACAACTTTTTTTTATTGCCTGCCTTTGCAAAAGAAAATGTAGACAATAATGTTTTTGCTTGTGTTTGTTCATTTTTTTTAATAAAAAAAGTCTTATGACTTTAATGAAACTATTTAAAAGTAATCTTTGGATGTACATCTGCAAGAGATTATCTTTTGGAGTCAACTTGACTGCCGCCATAACAAACACAAAAATGATTAAGTCTCAGATTATACCTTGAGATTAGTTAGTGTGCTAGTAACAGCATCATTTACAACACATACTCCAAGTGCTGACAGATCAAATGACATTTCACAATATTGCCTGAGATTGTGCAAAGTGTTATTTTTAAGGTTTGTCTAAAATGGGTATAATGCCTTTATTCCTCAATAAAAGATGGTCTCAGTTTAAAACTCTGGTATTTTTGGTGATACACATTTCCTCAAGGAATACTCGACTTTTAATTTTAAATAGACTTTAAAAATATATATTTTTTGATAGTTTTAAAATATTTGCACAGCTATCCTGGTCTTTTATTAGTTATTTTGCTTACTGTTTTTTTTTAAGGATCACCAGTTGAATAGAAGGCTGTTTCAACCCTTTGTGTTTTGTACAGTATACCGTCTTAAATCTTGAATTTAATGCATAAGGAAAACCAAACTTAACTGTCCATTATATAAACTTGAACAATTCAACATAAGTATTTACAAAGTTTATATGATGACACAATTACACTCACTAAATGCACAGTTCAGTAAAATACAAAGTCATGACAGAAAAAAATCCCTGTTATTTAAAAGCTGAATAGGTGGCAAAAACATTTAGTCATTTATAGGTTTAAACACAAGACTTATGTTTTTTAAAAGACAATAAAACAAAAAACAAGACTGTCAAATTTCTAATAGGTTGGTTTACAGTCTAAAGCCCTGTTTAAATTATGTTGTTTTTAATTGAAATAAGAATTCATTCATGTACACAACAACTATGGTTTTCTCTGACACTGAATGTTTTTGAATCCATGTTTCAGAATGGATATTTTTAGAAACTCCTGAGATTTTAAGAAAAATCACGTTTTGTGACATTGCATAATGAGCAAGTAGATGAATTTATGATGGTGGATATCATAGTGCTGTTTTTTATGCCACTCACTTTTTCTCCAATTTATCAGAGCTTCTGCCGCAGAACATATACCAGTACACCATCTCTTGGGTCAGTGGAGACACATGTATCACATTCTACAAATATTGAACCAGCTTGTAAAACAAAGAAACATAAAAATCACAGCACCAGCTACTGATTTGGCATGAAATCTACAGCCAGTTTTTGATGTCTTATATAAACAGTGATTGCAATCCTAGCATTACTGTGTAAATGAGTAAAGTTTTCATGATTTACATTGGAAAATATTTAACCTTTTTAGGAGCTCATTCACATGTAAACTAAGTTTAATTGACGACTGTGAGAACAACTCATGGGCCCATGATGGTGCCCTGTGGAGTTCCTTACTTGAAATAGGCTGTGTTTTTTTTTTAACAATGCATGCTTGTGACTTGATATACTGTACATATAATTGCTACTGTATCACCTTTTAAATATTATTCCACTGCTGAAATGCTTAAGGCACATAAACAAAAATTTAAACTGTGATAAAATGCAATAGTGTTCAAAGGAAAAATTATTTTTTTTCATGTGTTTTCTGAAAATGGAATACATTTATCAGACTGATTTTAAACTCCACAAAATACTGCAAACTTGCATTAAGCTGTCTGTGCTCATCGTGTGTAAGACCTCTGCCAATTGTAAATGGCATGAATATTATGGGAACATTCTGGGACTCGTTTACAAGTGCTGACACTCCGGTGACGGAAAGTCTTTCCACCTAGGCTTCCTCCGAGCCCCCTCCTCCGAGTGGCAAGCTGTTTCACTCTCTCCTCTGCCATGAAGAAGTCTGTGGTGGCCCTGAAAAATTCCAGCACCACTTTGTGGCTCCAGTTAGTGTCATCACCCTCTGCCGCCCTGTTTGGTGCTGCCACAGAAGCAGATCTCCTCACAGACTGGGTGGAGAACCCACAGTGACCTCCGTGGTCAGTTAGAAGGAGGAAAAAGTGTGGGTTTGTCTCAAAAAGCTCCAAGGGTATGGTGGACTGGGGATCTCCTCGGACGGGATCATCCTCAGCACATATGCTCAGAACGGGAATCGCCACTTCATCCACGTCTCTTAATGCTTCATTGCGTTCCCAGTAGGAATCCCAGCCAACCGAGGTACTAATGCTGCTGCTGGGCCCTGCTGAAGCTGCTGTGGTGGAGCCAACATGTCCAGACTGACAGAACAGCACCTCCTCCACACCCCGCAAGGAACAGCTGGAAAACAGAGCGTCCATATGCACAATCTCCCCCAGTGCTGTCCTGTACCTACAACACACACACACACACCATCACATACATATACACCCACACACAAGTGAAAGACAAGTGAAAAACAGTACGGTAAATTATTTTTGAAGAGCTGTACAGATCTCAAATTCACTAATGGCCTTGATTTGGGAAACATACCCTGGGTCACGATGTCTCTCAGAAATCACTAAATTGACAATGAGCTGGCCATTGGTTTCTATGGTAACTTAATTGCTTTTCTAGTGGCTTTTGCATTTCCAATAAATGGCTTATGTGTACTTGTATCTGTTGGTCATATCAGCAATATTTTTCAGTATCTTCCCATTTGCTAACATAATAACAATAATAAAAAATCTTTTTAAAATAAATTAAGTCCTGAGTATGCTTTAAAATCTTTTGGGCACTGTGTGGGATGTGAACCTGTTCAGACTAAACAATGAGCTGTCAACCAAACTGACAAAACTTGCTAAGAACAACGGAAGTGTTTAGTTTCAGTGTGTGCATGATTACATCCAGAAAACTACTATACATCTTTTGAAATATAATTTCTTTACAAATTGCTGACTGTGACACAGCAGCAATGACATGTACACCTTATGGAGTTCAGGGTTGAATTTGCTGGTAAGATGAGGTTATTCCATGAGGAGGTAAATAATAAAGGTTTTTGCCCATTTGTGTGCATGTATTTGTTTGTCTTAGCCATGGCTGTGGTCTCACATCCTGGATTACCCTTCAGCAAGATAAATCCTGAAACACACCACCAGCCAGAAATTAAAAAAACTTTTGGGCAAGAGACAATGCATCTTCAACAACCAAGAAAATACAGTCAATCAGCCATTTTTAAGACATTAGTTCTTTAGTATTCAAGTGGATGGAAAATGCATCCGTCCATCCATCCATTATCTTCTGCTTGTTCCGAAGTGGGGTCATGGGGGCAGCAGCTTGAGCAGGGAGGCCCAGACATCTCTTTTCACAGCGACTCTTACAGCTCTTCTGGGAGGATTCCAAGGCATTCCCAGGCCCACGGAAATACATAGTCTTTCCAGGATGTCCTGGGTCTTCTCCACAGGGTCTTCTCCTGTCAGCCATGCCTGAAGCACCTCTCTATGGAGGCTCCCAGGGAGCATCCTTAACAGATGCCCAAACCACCTCAACTGGCTCATCTCAAATGTGGAGGAGCAGCAGTTGTACTCTGAGTATTTCCCTGATAAGTGAACTTCTCGCCCTATCTCTAAGGGAGAGTCCAGCTACTCTGTTTAGGAAACACGTTTCAACTGCCTGTTTCCACATTCTCATTCTTTCAGTCTCTACCCAGAGTTTGTGGCCATAGGTGAGGGTAAGAACGTAGACTAACAGGTAAACAGAGAACTTTGTCTAACAGCTCAGCTCCCTCTTTACCAAAACAGACTGTCACAGAGTCTGCAATACTGCAGATGCTGCACCAGTCTGTCTGTCAATCTCACGCTCCATTCTTCCCTCAATCGTGAACAAAGCCACAAGATACTTGAAATCCTCCACTTGAGGCAGAACCTCACCCTCGACCCAAAGAGAACAATCCTCCTTTTTCCAACTGAAGACCATTGCCTCAGATTTGGAGGTGCTGATTCTCGTCCAACTGCTACACACTTGGCTGTGAATCGCTCCAGTAAGAGCTTAAGATCATGGCACAATGATGCCAACAGAACCACATCATCTGCAAATAGCTGAGATGGAGTCCTGAGGCTACCAAATTGGACTCCCTCTGCCACCTGGTTGCACTGAAAAATTCTGTCCATAAAAGCTGTGAACAGAATCTGTGACAACGAGCAGCCCTGGAGGAGTCCAACTCCTACACTGGAGGGGTCTGACTTACTGCTGGTAATGCAAACTAAACTCTTGCGCTGCTTTTATAGGGACTGAACAACCCATAGCAACATGTCCCCAATCCCATACTCGTGAAGCACCCCTCACAGTGTATCCAGAGGAACATAGTCCAACAGCTTCTCCAAATCCATAAAATACATGTGGTCTGGATGGGCAAACTCCCATTACCTCTCGAGGATCTTAGTAAGGGTAAAGAGCTGGTCCAGCATCCCATGGCCAGTGTAGAACCCACATTGTTCCTCCTGGATCAGAGGTTCTACCAATGATCAGACTCACTTATCCAGTAGCCCTGAATAGACCTTACAGGGAGGCTAAGGAGAGTGATGCCCTTATAAATGGAGCACACCCTCTGGTCCCCCTTTTTGAAAAAGGGAACAACCACCCAGCCTGTCTATGCAGTGGCACTGCCCCCAATGTCCATGGGATGTTCCAAACACATGTCAAACAGCTCAAAACATCCAGAGCCTTAAAGAAATCAGGGCAGATCTTGTCCACTCCCAGAGCCCTGCCACTGCAGAGCTTTTTAACTACGTTGGTGATCTCAACCATGGTTATGGAAAGACCAATTTCAAAGTCCCCCAACTCAGCTTCCTCTATGGAAGATATACTGGTGGAATTGAGAAATTCAGATAAGTATTCCTTCCACATCCTTATGACATCACTGCTTGAGATCAATAGCACCCCACCTTTACTGAACAGTGTTTATAAAGTGCTGCTTTCCCCTCCTCAGTCGTCGGATGGTTTGCCATAATCTCTTAAAAGCCGATTGAGAGTCTCTAAGTTCTCACTGGACTCCTCCTGCATCCGAGCTGCAGATCACTTGGCCTTCCAGTACTCCTCAGCTGCCTCCAGAGTCCCACCAGACAACAAGGCCCAATAGGACTCCTTCAGCTTGACAACATCCATAACCAGGGGTGTCCACTACGGAGTTTAAGGATGCCCAGTGCGAAAAGCACCAACAACCTTGTGGGCACAGCTCAACGCAGCCACCTCAATAATTGAGGCACAGAACATGGCCCACCCTGACTCAATGTCTCCCACCTCATCTGGGATATGATTAAAGCTCTCTTGGAGGTGTGAGTTGAGGATCTTTCTGATGGGTTCTTCTGCCAGATGTTCCCAGCAAACCCTCACTACACATTTGAGTCCATCAGGTCTGTCTGGCATCTTCCCCTTACCATCTAATCCAACTCACTACCAGGTGTGGATCAGTTCACAGCTCAGCTATTCTCTTTACCAGAGTGTCCAAAACAAATTGTTGCAAATCAGATGACATGACTACAAAGTCAATCACTGATCTACAACCTAGGGCATCTGGTGTCAAGTGCACTTAAGGACAGCCTTATGTTCGAACATGGTGTTCATGATGGACAAACCATCACTAGCATAGAAGTCCAACAACAGAACACCACTCGGGTTCAGATGAGAGTGGATGGTTTAATTTTTATTTATTTACTCAATGCCACAAACTGTATATCACACAAACATTGATAATTAAACTGAAAACACTATTAAAAACAAGTTGACTGTAAACTTTTTCATTCATTCAACCTTTATTTAGACAGGTAAATCCCATTGAGCCTCCAGGACTTATTTACAAGAGAGACCTGATTTCAACAAAGAATGATGACAACAATGGAGAACAGCGACAAGAATAAACAGTTATAAAAAGTCATACACATTTTTTTATTTTATTTTATTTTTTACAAAAAAGATGGCTAAAAAAAGAAAAGTAAGAAAAAACAGCTAAATTCTAAGGCTTCTAAACTACATTAATGAACTGGACTCTGCACTGTTTTCATCCTGGATGTCCCACGTTATTCATCTGGCTCTTTCAGGCTGTCACTCCTTTGATTAATGCAGTTTAAAACATTAAATGGATTGAATAAAAGAACTGAGGAGAATTTTAAATAAATAGTTCATCCAACATCTCTCTCTTCGACATCCTCCTGCACTGCACCTGCAGAACTTTACCGCGGTGAGCTGACCCTCGTTCAGAACCGGTTCGCCTGGTGGAAGGACAGCTTCTTCTTCTTTCAGGAAAAATAAAAATAAAAACTCAGTTGGTTGTTGTGTGATCGAAGTAAACACAAGCAAACATTATTAAGAATGTCGATTTACCTGCTGTAAATCAGCTACTGATTATCACGGAGTAAAGTCCGACATCGTCGACTCGGTTCTGGTCCAATTAGCGACCGGTGTGGAGCTGTTAGACGAAGCGGTCCCACTTGGCGTCAAATCTGTCGACTCTTATCCAAAATCCAGCCAAAATCCAGCTTTAACTTGTTATTAAGTTGTTGTTAGCTGAGCTTTTAGCCCAGAGGAAAGGAGCGTGCCGAGGCAGCACGCATGCACATTAGGTGAAGGTACAAAATTCACAGCGCCATCTAATGACCCGGCATGGTAACTACAGTGGATTCAGGAGGGCGGGGTGGGGGTGGGGGGATTCCTCTGGATGCAAGATTTGCATTGACACTAAATCCGTCCGTGTCAATGCAAATCTTTTCCTCTAATTAACATACAAAAAAAACCCTACGTTTCCTCCATCATGTCCGTGTAAATAGGGCCTAAGTGTAGACCCTCACCAACTCTGCGCCTCTCAAAACGGGCAACTCCAGATTGGAATAAGGTCCAGCTTCTCTCAAGGAAATGGGTTTTGGAGCCCATGCTGTGTGTCGAACTGAATCCAACTATACCTAGTTAGTACCTCTCAACCTCACGCACAAGCTCAGGCTCCTTCCTCACCAGAGAGTTTACATTCCATGTTCGAAGAGGCAGATTTGGTAAGCAAGGGTCAGAGTGCCCAGGCCCCCACCTTCAGCCACTGACCATGAAGTCATGTACCTGACTCATATGGCCCCTCCCCACTGTATGAAAAACACAACAGAAAGACCAACCTCTGCGCAGTCTAGCTAAAAAAGCAAGAATTGTTGCCACCATCTTGATAGGTGCTACATAGAATCCTAGTTGCTGCCAACATGGCTTCAGACCATGAATATCTTTAGAAAAAAAACCTAGGCTCTGCCAAAAAGCCCAACTTTCCCAATACTTGTAATAATTAATGGAACTTGCACTTCAAATAATGTAACAATAAGTTTATCTTTTATTTTTTGGGGAAATTCTTTATCTACTACAGTATTAGTCTTTCAAGACCAATGTGTTTTAATTACAGTGAAGCAGGGTATTGAGGGTAGGCACAGAGAAGCTAAATGAAAATATATAATTGATATTCACGTTTTTTTAAATTATAGTAATTAGTCAATAAATTAGTTTTACCTCATAAGTACAAAAAAGTTCAATTAGTAAATTAATGCATAGGTTAGACAAAAGCTGTTTTTTTTTCCTTTTGGCTGCTCCCTTCTTCAGGGGTTGTCACAGTAATCTAAGTTGCATGAAGACTTGGCAACTATTTTTTACTCAGGATGCCCTTCCTGATGCAACCACAGACCACTGAGCTACCACAGCCCCTCTGTGTGAAGCAGAGAGTTGCCATCTAGATTGCCAGGGGAGCAGATGGTGAGGGGTTAAGGGCCTTGCTCAAGGGTCCAGAGTAAGGCAAATGAGGGTGGAGGCAGATGTGGGTGCTTCACATATCCCACCCACATTTTGATGTTGTCAGTACAGGAAGTTGAACCAGTGATCTTCCAATCACAAGCCCACCTTCTTTATCCTCTGCACCACCACTCCCACAGACAAAAGTTCAGTTATTCATGTCTAAATACTAAAGTGTGTGGTATAAAAGACCTACTAAATATTTTCAGAATTATGAGTGCAAAGTGATAAGTGTCGCACTTAACAGGATGGTAACAACAGATCTTGCCTAGTTTTATCAGTGACCCACTCCAGTGTATTTCTATTTTCATTGTTTTCTTATGATTCAGCTCCCCCTCCTCCTTACCTGCTGAGACTTATCTTCTGGTACAAAGTCAACACCCACTGCAGGGGTCGACAGAGCCCGTTCTCAAACCAGCTCTGGCAGCGGAACACAGGCGACAGACAAGCAGCCGCCGTCACATAGCTCGATGATCCACACTCCCCCAGGTAAGACAGGAGGAGACCTGAGCCGGAGCTCTCGCTCACTGCGTACAACCTCCCTGCTGGCTGGCGGTAGCGAATGTAGCGCACGGCCTCACGAAGGTCTGAAGGGTCGCCAAACTGCTGCAGTTTGAGGGTGGTGAGCGGCGTACCATTGTGGCTGCGGCGGTTGAAGACTGCTGGAAGGTAGCCATGGGTCAGTGCTGTTTCACACAGCTGTGGAGAAGGAAACCACAACAATGACTCAATAAACGGATGGTCATACTTCTCCAGATGTGAGGGTGTGAAATGGCTTAATTGGTGATATGTAACTTATCTGTGCTCCTGATTATCTCATGCTGCTGTATTCATTCATACCCATCTGTTCACCACAGACTCTTGTTCGGGCTGCTGTTGTTACGCTGTATTGTTTTACATTACAGTAGTCAATAATTTTTCTCAGACTCGTTCTATTGCGGTTTTTCAAAGTAAGATTGGACATGACACACAATTGGCTAATTGATGAATGAGCTGCACGATTGACATGGCATTTTTATTTAAAATAAAGTATTTAAAATGGTTTAGCATCTGCACAGTGATTGCTGGACATGGGCACCAGTGACCCCCGTGACCCAGAAAGGAAGAAGGGGGTAAAAGATAATGGATGGATGGATGGATGGATTTAGCATCTGTGTGCAGCCCACAGCTGTGGGAGAAGCTTCCTCCTGCAGCTGATCAGCTTATCTCTGCTCTGCACGGAGATCAGATGATCAGCTGATCTCATGCAGAGCAGAGAAGTGGGCATGGCCGAGCATGCAGCCAGAAGCAGAGAGCTGAAATCATGACATTCTGTGCTCTTTTAAAGCGTTTAAAGGCTAGAAACATTTAGAAT